ATATATATATATATATATATATATATATAAAAAAAAAAAAGGTATTCATAGACTAGAACATAGGGAAGTAACGATTAACCACGAGCCGGTTGAAAATCGGTATGTGACAATTCAAATCGGTTAAGATGCTAAACAAATTGCGATTAATTTAGGGGTAGGAGTTTATAAGAATCCATGTCTGAGGGGAACTTACGGTCTTTAGAAAAGTTTAGATGGTATTATTTTCTTTTCCTCTTGCCTCAGTATAATGCATATTGAAGTGCATAAGTGCAGGGCTGCTTTGTTTACAGCGGAAACGCTTTACGCTCCACCTGCTGGCAGAGAGTGAATCTGCGTCTCATTCAGCTCGTCCGCCGTTTCATGCAGATATTTTTTTATGTATAGTTTAACAAAACTGAAGTCAAACCATTCTGTTTTTGCCTCAAATTTCGAAATTATACAATCTAATTTAGATTAAAAACTGCTCATGTTGCATGTATGCAGCAGTATTAATGCAGTGGTTGCCTCTAATTTTAAAAGGAAAGGGCACAAAGCCTTTTGTTTATATGAAGAGATTTATTTTATTTGTGTTATTTATTTGATTTGGGGCTTGTTTTAAAATTTCAATTTACATTATATTTAAATTCAGTCATTTAGCAGACACTTATCCAAAGCGACTTAAAAATGAGGACAATAGAAGCAATCAAAACCAACAAAAAAGCAATAATATGCAAGTGCTATATTAGTATATTATTATAGTGCTATATTTCAATTTGACAAAGAAATGTGCAGCATTTTGTCCAAGCAATAATAAAAGGACACATTTAAATTTATAATTTGTCTTAAATCTCATTCATTCATTCACTCAAAAAAAAAAGTGAATCTAAAATCGTGAATTGAATCGTGAGTTGAGTGAATCGTTACATCCCTACTACAACATATAAGGTTCTACATCCAAAACATTGACTAACCTAAACATCAACCCAAAAGGGTTGTGACGGTGAGGAAATTTTCCCACCGGTTAATCGACGTGTGACAACACCGATAATACCGGTATCACTGTGGGGGCGGGGGCGTTCGATCTTTTCCTCGCATTCCTTCGCTTTTAAATAGCTTGCAGAAACGGCGTGCGCATGTTACTTTCACTTTCAAATAGCAGCAATTCAGCGTAAAGCAATTGTTTGAGTTTTCCCTCTTTTTCTCACTTTCCTTCGCTTTTAAATAGCTCGAATTAGCGGCAATTTGGCGTCAATTGCTTGAATGCAACAACAAAATACAAAGTCAAACTCACTTTAGCCTATATAAAACATAGAACAAAAACGAATAAAAATACACCATGCTATAGGGCAGATTGAGCGCATGCGATTACTTGCATCTGTCCTCCAGGCAGAGTCATATATATTTGTGAAAATAGGGTGTCATGTCCAAGGAAAGCTAAATCTCTGTCTTAGCATCGACGCATAGCTGGTCAGCAGAGCCTTCTAAAGTGGCGCTCAAAGTTAAAATGATTTCAACAGCATGTTTCATTACGTCTCTTTGAATAAATGAATCAGCGTTTTTGAACATGTAGTTGAAAGACAGCCACCACCTTGTGGCACAACACTGTAACTGCACTGACTGACAGTCCGTCTAGAACGCGCGCAGGTGGATATATCAATAGAAAGTCTCTTGTCCAGTCAGATTAGAAGATCAGATCAGAACTGTTATACATATAGGCTAACAATAGACTAACGATCTTATTGTCAGGTTCATGTTCTGTTATGTGGACCGTTATTTTGTCATTCTCTTCTGTTTACTTCACTTTCAACTTTCAACGCTATTTGGTTTCGGTTTCATTGGTTTCTGAATATGACCTCGTTAGTTATATCGTAACACATAAACACACAGATTATATATATATATGTGTGTGTGTGTGTGTGTGTGTGTGTGTGTATGGCGATAATACCGCATACCGCGCTATTGAGCCACTCAAAACTACCGCAAGAGGCGGCAGCAACAATACTACAGCGAGAATAAAAGTTACGCCTTCTTTCTTTGCGTGAACATTTGGGCGGCGTTATGCAAATCTTCCCACATAGTGACGTAGACATGTGGGGGCGTGTTAGAACGAGTCGTTTTAGGTAGGCGTGGCTGACTCTTGACTTTTATAAAGAATATCTCTTTGGATTTGAGAAAAGGACACATTTAAATTTATAATTTGTCTTAAATCTCATTCATTCATTCACTCAAAAAAAAAAGTGAATCTAAAATCGTGAATTGAATCGTGAGTTGAGTGAATCGTTACATCCCTACTACAACATATAAGGTTCTACATCCAAAACATTGACTAACCTAAACATCAACCCAAAAGGGTTGTGACGGTGAGGAAATTTTCCCACCGGTTAATCGACGTGTGACAACACCGATAATACCGGTATCACTGTGGGGGCGGGGGCGTTCGATCTTTTCCTCGCATTCCTTCGCTTTTAAATAGCTTGCAGAAACGGCGTGCGCATGTTACTTTCACTTTCAAATAGCAGCAATTCAGCGTAAAGCAATTGTTTGAGTTTTCCCTCTTTTTCTCACTTTCCTTCGCTTTTAAATAGCTCGAATTAGCGGCAATTTGGCGTCAATTGCTTGAATGCAACAACAAAATACAAAGTCAAACTCACTTTAGCCTATATAAAACATAGAACAAAAACGAATAAAAATACACCATGCTATAGGGCAGATTGAGCGCATGCGATTACTTGCATCTGTCCTCCAGGCAGAGTCATATATATTTGTGAAAATAGGGTGTCATGTCCAAGGAAAGCTAAATCTCTGTCTTAGCATCGACGCATAGCTGGTCAGCAGAGCCTTCTAAAGTGGCGCTCAAAGTTAAAATGATTTCAACAGCATGTTTCATTACGTCTCTTTGAATAAATGAATCAGCGTTTTTGAACATGTAGTTGAAAGACAGCCACCACCTTGTGGCACAACACTGTAACTGCACTGACTGACAGCCCGTCTAGAACGCGCGCAGGTGGATATATCAATAGAAAGTCTCTTGTCCAGTCAGATTAGAAGATCAGATCAGAACTGTTATACATATAGGCTAACAATAGACTAACGATCTTATTGTCAGGTTCATGTTCTGTTATGTGGACCGTTATTTTGTCATTCTCTTCTGTTTACTTCACTTTCAACTTTCAACGCTATTCCTATACAAAACTCGAAATAAGTAAACATGTATAATATATAACCAAATAAGTAAGAAATGTAGAAAGTTTATTAGCAAAACAAAAAAGAAAGCTTGGAGGCACGGCACCTTGCTGTCAAATAAAATTAATTACACAAAGTTTAAATAAAGTAAAAATCAGCAAACACCATGGAACCAATTAAATAAGAAACGAATGTTAAAAAAAATAATAATAATAATTCCAAAATCACCTTAGATAAATGGCAAAAGTCAACAGGCTTTTCAAAATACAAAATACTTCCAAGCAGGTGCTTTTGCATTTAGTTTATAAACTAAATCATCCGCTATCGTCTTTTTCGGTCTTACCTCACTCTTCTTGTCAGTCAGCTCGACTCACTCTCCTCACTGGAGAAATGAAATCTGATCTGTGAAGCGACTGTCGTTCGGCACGCTGCATTGAGCAGCCGTATTGTTATTTTTAGCGGCTGTTCTTTTACTGAACTAAATTATTTTTATTACTATAAAAAACCAATCTAAACGACGGTGGGGGTCAGTGCCACGGTGGGCAAGTGACGTAACCGGTGTTGCAGCATAACACCGGTATCACCGTCAGCACCGTCTATCGCGGCAAGCCTACAACCCAATGCCTCAATACTGAGACACTGCTATATGCCAAAGGCTTAAACATGTACATAGGGGACTGTAGCGGAAATTGTGCAGTTAGCGGAGATTGTTGAAAGCTTAAAAAACATGTTAAACAAGCTCAAGAGCAATAAAGTTGTTTGTGAAGCATCTCAGTATTCTGCAGCTGGGGCACTTGGGACTAGGAATGTTAAAGTACTGAAGGACTTGAATAGCACATTTAGACAACACTGATTAAAGGTTCAGATATACGGTTATCATGCAAAATGCTATTCTTGGAACATTTAGTTCTAAAAGATGCCCACATGCTCCTGATACTGTGTTTCCCATTAATTATCAGCCCACCACAGTCACCACAAAATATCTTTATACACTTCTCATAAGGTCTTTACTACAGTTTGGAAGCATTGCTGTAGCTAATCATCTACATTTTGAGCTAAATCTGAAATCGTGGTATGGCTTACTGCACTCATCAAATCGCTAAAGGCTGCAATTTGAAATTTAGTATACAGACTGTTGTGCTGCGCGTTTCACAATGAAGCGTGGCACTGCGTTCATTTACATGCACCCATCTCATGATCCAGCGTTCTCAGCATCACGGTTCACAGTAAATGCAGCAAATCATCTCTGCACATGTTGTCACTTTAACATGCATTTAGGCAAGTAATGTATAGCAGTTACACCATTTGCATAACTTCCAAAATTTTGTGGACAGATGATTGCAGCATTTCACTGGATTTGTAATGAGAAACACTCAAACTTAAAGGACTCCCTGCAGTATTTCACTTGCATTTGAAGACAACTGCTGTAATTATACTATAAAATTAAAGAGTTTCATACAGTCTAGCTGCATTACAATACTAATGTATCCATCTTTCTTTAATCTGTAGGTTTGTAGATGACTGCTACAATACCAGTCCAGTGAATGTATCCAAACGTATCACTAGACACGAGTGCAGCAGGACTCACCCATGAAGCCAGTGGGGTAGGTGACATCAGTGCGGACCTTGCCATCGATCTTGATGAACCTCTGCATGCAGATCTTCTTGACCTCATCTCCGGTCAGAGCGTACTTGAGACGGTTCCTTAGGAAGATGATGAGGGGCAGGCACTCCCTCAGTTTGTGGGGACCGGTGGAGGGACGAGGAGCCTAAAGAAATCAAACAACAAATCAATTCACTTCCATACAACGACACGTTAATTAGTTTAGTTGATTGTTTTAAGCATAATTGTTGTTAGCAGAGGCAACTCAGTTAACACACATGACACTTTGCATTGAACAGGTCAACATGGTTTCTTACAAACCCTTGGCAGGTGTATAAGTGTCCATAATTCTACAGATTTTTCTCAAAAGTGCGGTTCATTTCTTAAACTCTTAACAAATACAAAATTGCTGAGGGCACCTTTAAGTAAAGCTCCACTTACAAACACTCCAGTGAGTTTGTCCAGCATCCAGTGTTTAGGAGCTGCGACACGCTTCAGGTGCTTCTTCGGTCCTCGGGCCTGAAGAAGAATAGAAAACTCAATTCGATAATAGAAAATCGTTGCGTGCAGCCAAAGCGTGTACAAATGCACTATATAGTGTTCTGTAACAAGTACGCCATCTCGGACAAGCGAGGCCTTCAGATTCCTTCGTGTTATTTAAATACATAAAACACGAAACGCGCCATTTAAACAACGTAAGCTTAATATAGTTACCATTTCATATTCATTAAAGTATTAAAACTACAGAACCAGTTCAAAAACTTACATTGCGCCATCAAAACCCGGCGAGTCCCCTTTACCGCGAAGCGGTTGAGCTAAGCATGTTCCGTTAACATTTTAAACATTACGTCTGCGCTTTTCGTGACAATTTGTGTGTTGTTCATCTTTAATGGGGACAAACGAGCATTATTTGGAACGCTAATGGAAGACTTCGCTCTTTAAACCGTTGATGATTGTGGATTATTTCGAGAGGCTATCACGACTGAAATGCACTCACCATGTTGGAGTCTGCGGAAAAGGACCAGCCGCTTCCTGTCAGCGGAAGATAAGCTCAACTACCGGCGCCGACGAGGGACAATCGACGCTACTACTATCAGCCGTGCGAGCGTCTGCCATCAAGTGGGGAGGTCTGTAATCACACCTCAAACCATCGTTTGAGATCATTTTGTGCTCTTTTACTGGATGTCTCGAGCCTTCTTCCATTTGTTTTAATGTGTAAGTGTATGTTTCTTCATGTACGGGACCTTTGGGTCATTCCTGGGGCGAGCGTTGTCATATTGCCACATTGCTGTTTAGTCTGTTGAAAAAAAGTTCAGCTTACAATCTGAAAGAGATTCAAATCATAGTTTGTATTCTTTTATGACAATGTCACAATTGAGCGAATATCAGGGTGATTTTTAACTAAGTCTACTACTTAGGTGCTATGCACAAAAAAAATTGAAATTATTAGGACATTACAGCTGTTTCTTTTGTCCCCTTTCTGTAATCAGAATGCTTCAAATTAAACATGTTTGTCAATATTGTTTGCTATTAAATATATTTTATAATTTTTTCATGTGCCCTAAAATTTCCTTTTTTCAGTCAGTTCCCTGAATGGCATGAATGACAGAATTTGCCATGGATTTAATAAATGATATAATGTTTTGTGGTATTAGGTTTGGCTCATTCATGTTCATTTTCATCAAAACCAAGAACCAACTTTTTTTTTCTTCTTAAGTTGATGTACTTGTTTGCCAAAGGGAAAGCAGTGTCTGTAGTTAAGATGAGGGGAAATTACATTTAAAAACGAATGGTAGGAAAAAGTCCTTGGTCATTTCAGGTTGTGAAACAGGGTTGTGTTATTAAGCAGATCTAGGGCCAGTCATCCACTGGTCACCAGACAAACCTGAACTGCCTTATCTATTCTGTAGCATGTTTGAGTCTAATGAAATGTGCATTTATATCTTGAGAAACGCATTCCAAGCATTGATTTAGTATTAAATTGAAAATGAACTGATCTGAAGAAGATATTTCTACATTAGCTAGACGGGATGGTGTGTTAAATGAAGTTGGGCACTAGATGGCAGTACTAACCAGTTAGTCATCTTTCGCTGTCTCACTGGCTAGAATTATGATTTAAAAAAAAACAAAAAAAAAAACTTTTTCCGGGTTTAGCTTTGCCAGCAATAGGTTTATATACCCCAGATAATATTAGCTTATTTGTATAATAATATATTTTAATAGTAAATAGGCTACTTAGCTTTTATATTGAGATTTTGCATTTGTTTGGTCAGCACTTAGTCACCTGAAATCATCAAGGTTTTTGTTTTGTTTTTCATTCAGTTCAAGTGTTTTTATTGGAAAGAAAAAGACAAAGACTTGTGCTTTGTAACTTTATTTTCTCACATTCAGGAACAAACTGAAAAGTACACACTTAAATATAATAAGTAATAACTCTCTTATGTAGAAAAATAAATGGATGGAAGAAAAGTGCTAAACGAAAAATCTTTGATTACGTTTCAGTAAGTCACAGATTTCAAAAACAGTAAATAAAAAAAGGAACAGAATATCTGACAAAGTCCTCTTTCTTTCAATGGACTTTGAAATGGAATGCATTTTAAGCATGTAAAATGTCTAACATATTTCTGGATTTTGGAGAAGACCTGCACAGATCTACATTACAATTAACTTGTTTTATTCTTACAGCCTACAAGACCCAAAAACAAAAAGAGAGAACAGAACTGAATTAGTCCATTTAAATTTAGAGGGGGAAAAAAAGACAGTAGGCAATACTCTTATTTTAATTAACATTGACATTTAAGTGCATGAACCAATTATCTCTAGAAAAAAACAACCTAACATAAAAATAAGGCTATCAGACCACACAGCCTGAATTGTGGGGTAAACAGACACGTCTCATTAATATATTTAACCACGGAAAACGTTCAGCCAGGTCGAGTTCCTCTGTGACCAGCGAAGCTTGCGATGACTCGGCTTCTCGAGGGAATCTCTTGAATGATGGAGGGGCTCCGCTGAGCGCACCAATTTCAAAACCACCTTCCATTACACACTTGTAATACCATCCAGCCGTTAGGCCAAATAGGGGCTGAAAGTCAGAGCAACCGGCAGCCAGCAGGCAAGGGTAGCCGAAAACCTTTGTTCTCTACTAACCATATTTGCTGTATATCTCTTCTTCCACCAACCTCACAGTGAGGTGACTTTTCAAATCCATTCCACATATCATGATGTGGATTTCATAAGGGTGTGAATGTGATTTGGAAATGTAGACAGCTTTAAGGCAGGGGGAAAGGATGGCCATTTTAGTCTGTGGCTTCTGAAAGTCTATAGCTCACATAAGAGCAAACCTACATTAGTCTGCCCTCCAAAACTGTAAATAACAGCTCTTGACAGTTAAACGTTCTCTTCATAGGCATATTTAATTGCCATTATTTGGGCACTTTGATTTTGAAGGCCGAGGGAGATTTGGTAGCACCCGAGAGGTTCAGCAGCCAGCCGGCACATCCGCGATGAAGTCAAACTCGTTCTGACCCAGCCATAGCTCTGGAAGCTCATTGGCACGGTCCAAACCCAGCTCCACCACAAGCGACATCAGAACTTCCTCATCGACCGGATCAGAATCAATGATCCCAGGTGCCTGTGAAGCCCCAGGGGTGCTGATCTGTCCTGGGCCCAGCATGGTGGCTCCGTACCCTCTACCGGGTCCGGTTGTGGCTGCAGAGGACAGATTCTGATAGTGGCTGTTGAGTTTCTGGAGCTGCATGGAGGCTATGAGATGCTGGCCGGACTGCAGGCAGAAAGGCTGGGGTTTTCCCAACACGGGGGAGCTGGGATGGAGGGCAGCAGAAGGGAAAGAAGGGCTCGTCTTGCCTGAACCAGAGTAGTGCAGGAGAGAGAGAGAGTCACGATCCTTCATGGTGGCACTAGAACGCATGAGGCTCATTAGATGGACACACCTGAAGGAAAAGAAGACGATAACATCAAAGTCTCTTCAAAACAACTTTTGTGTTCCACAGTAGAACGTTTGGAATGACGGCTGGAATACACTACATGGCTTTTAGAATCGGAACAGATTTTAAAATATTATGCATCATACATTTCTTAAAATGTTTCCAGAGTACAACTAGACATCACACACGACCGAGGCTTTCAAGTCATTGCGAACACAACAAGCTCATACAGAAATGTGTGTCTCACTGGATGACAAATGGAAACAATGCGTTTTAAAATCAGCTCAAATGATAAAACGTGTTTGATACCCTCGGACTCTACGGATTCAGTCTGAAGCTAAAAAAAACAAACATCTGTGTCCATCATACACTACACAATTTACTTCGAAATCTGTCAACTTGCACGGACTCCTTCAACCTGCAAATCTAAGGCAAAAAATCTGAAGTGTATTCCAGCCTTAAATGATTAAGACGTTTGCGTGAACTATGCCTTTAACTGAGATCACAAGGCAAGAGTTTATCAATGGATCAGAAGGGCAGCAAGTCATGTGACGTTCCAAGACTATTTGTAGAGATGAACCATTCATAATCCCTCAAATGTGGGGTTAATTATGGAGTACGTGACAGTGTCCCGTGACTCCATATCCTCCTGCGTCTCACATGCTCGCATACACCGAGGACAAGTAAAGAGGCACTTAATCATATGTGCTGCTAAACTCTCCTCAATCCCCACTTAAAGCCATTCTTTTAGGGAAAGGCATAGGCTAATTGCTGAAAGCTGGCATGCAGCTGCAATGGACCTCCAGCAACGAGCAGCACACAGGCTCATCTCAGACTTTGACAGCTGTAGTAGGGCATTCATCTCGAGATCTTTGTGTTTAGCTCATTGTATTCATTATTCATGGCCTGGGAGCAGTCACATATAACACGATGAGCTCTACAACTTAATTAGACCAAGACAAATGTAAAAAGCTAACTTTGTGGTTATCTTGCAAAGCCCAGCTTTAAAATTGGACTCTTCAAAATGTCCTGTGATAAAGCATAACGTTGATCTAGTTATATTAAATATTATTTTAAAAGTTGCCATTCAAATTGATAACCTTATTTAGTGTCAATGTTGTGTCACAATCTGTGTGGTGCAGAACAGATAACTTCTCATGTCCTACTACCACTAGTCAGGGATGTGTTGTGGGTTAGTGGTGGTGACAGGTAAATAGTCAAAGATGAAAACACTAGTTGGTGGCACTCAACTAAACACTGCTGAATTACAACCACTGACTGGATTAGACCCAAAACTGAGCGATAACCGTGTTGCGTTATAAATATCCTATTCAAGAGAGGACGTGGAATATGTAGTCAATTTTATGAACAAAAATAAGAAAAACTGTTTTTATGGACAGCTTTCTGTAGAATTGTTTTCTTGCGTCATTTAAACAACAGTAAAAGCGTTTTAATAATATAGTTTAAAAGTTATAGAAAGGTTGGAATTTACAGAATGGAAGTAAAAAAAAAAAAAAACTAAATTAACAAATTAAATTGTTTATATGATAACTTACCTTTATAGGAGAAGCGGTCAACTTGGGTTCGTGTTGCGAATCCAGTATGACTAAAGAGCAATACTTTTTTTTAAATAATTTATAGAAATGACTATATGCGTTGAGAATGTACTGCATGCAAATAAAGCCGTTGGAATAAGGTGCCGTTGTATTTGGAAAAGACAGACACGCAGTCGACTCTGGACGTGAAGTTACATCAATGTTTCCCGTCCTGTTGCAGGAGAGAGAGCACCCTCAATGAACTGTTACTGAATCAAAGGCATTAGCCTAAACACACACACTCGACGCTCTCGAGAGGGAACCGAGTCCGCTCAAAAACACTGCGTGGATCATCTGCGAAACTGGACTGTGACAAGGCGACGACTGGTGAAGTATAAGAGGACAATTGAATTACCCTACTACAGCATATGAAGCATTAGCCTACTTGACTCCGGAATTAATGTTCTGTCATCATTTACTCGCCAACAACATCTTTTTTTTATTTGGGATACTAAAGTTAAAACTGGACTGGCACCATACAGCTAGCCCGCGTTACTCCTGTGCTAATGTCTTCTGAGGCAATGTGATGTT